AGGAAGCCACGGCATTTCGATGGAGTACCGTCATACTTCTCCGGAACGGACAGTCGGGCTACGCTGACCTGGGCATATGGCTGGGTAGGCTGGGGGACTGGCTCACTGTGATGAACCATGGTAGGAAGCCCTCTGATAGGGATATGGAAAACCTCACTGGTGTTGTTGAGGCAGTGGAGAATGCGGAGGACCTGAACGTGAGAGAGAACAATACCACTTGATGACAACTGAGGGCTAAATAAAGGTGGAGTAATTAAGGATAAAATGATGAGCAGGTGTGCGCAATGTGGGTTGCCAGGTGTGCACAATGTGGGTTGCCAGGACCCATATAGTAGATCGGCGATGTCGAGCGCTGGAGGGAGGGAGCAGGAGTAGGCGTGACAATGTGTGTGTATATATATATATATATATATACAGTTGAAGTCGGAAGTTTACATACACTTAGGTTGGAGTCATTAAAACTCGTTTTTCAACCACTCCACAAATTTCTTGTTAACAAACTATAGTTTTGGCAAGTCGGTTAGGACATATACTTTGTGCATGACACAAGTAATTTTTCCAACAATTGTTTACAGACAGATTATTTCACTTATAATTCACTGTATCGCAATTCCAGTGGGTCAGAAGTTTACATACACAAGTTCACTGAGCCTTTAAACAGCTTGGAAAATTCCAGAAAATGATGTCATAGCTTTAGAAGCTTCTGATAGGCTAATTGGAGGTGTACCTGTGGATGTATTTCAAGGCCTACCTTCAAACTCAGTGCCTCTTTGCTTGACATCATGGGAAATCTAAAGAAATCAGCCAAGACCTCAGAAAAATAAATTGTAGACCTCCACAAGTCTGGTTCATCCTTTGGAGCAATTTCCAAATGCCTGAAGGTACCACGTTCATCTGTACAAACAATAGTACGCAAGTATAAACACCATGGAACCACGCAGCCGTCATACCGCTCAGGAAGGAGACGCGTTCTGTCTTCTAGCGTACTTTGGTGAGAAAAGTGCAAATCAATCCCAGAACAACAGCAAAGGACCCTGTGAAGATGCTGGAGGAAACAGGTACAAAAGTATCTATATCCACAGTAAAACAAGTCCTATATCAACATAACCTGAAAGCCACTGCTCCAAAACCGCCATAAAAAAGCCAGAGTACAGTTTGCAACTGCACATGGGGACAAAGATCGTACTTTTTGGAGAAATGTCCTCTGGTCTGATGAAACAAAAATATAACTGTTTGCCCATAATGACCATTGTTACGTTTGGAGGAAAAAGGGGGTGGCTTGCAAGCCGAAGAACACCATCTCAACCGTGAAGCACGGGGGTGGCAGCATCATGCTGTGGGGGTGCTTTGCTGCAGGAGGGACAGGTGCACTTCACAAAATAGATGGCATCATGAGGAAGGAAAATTATGTGGATATATTGAAGCAACATCTCAAGACATCAGTCAGGAAGTTAAAGCTTGGTTGCAAATGGGTCTTCCAAATGGACAATGACCCCAAGCATACTTCCAAAGTTGTGGCAAAATGGCTTAAGGACAACAAAGTCGAGGTAGTGGAGTGGCCATCACAAAGCCCTGACCTCAATCCTATAGAAAATGTGTGGGCAGAACTGAAAAAGCGTGTGTGAGCAAGGAGGCCTACAAACTTGACTCAGTTACACCAGCTCTGTCAGGAGGAATGGGCCAAAATCCACCCAACTTATTGTGGGAAGCTTGTGGAAGGCTACCTGAAATGTTTGACCCATTGTTAAACAATTTAAAGGTTGAGTGGCCAGACGGAAGCCACTCCTCAGTAAAAGGCACATGACAGCCCGCTTGGAGATTGCCAAAAGGCACCTAATGGACTCTCAGACTATGAGAAACAAGATTTTCTGATCTGATGAAACCAAGATTGAACTCTTTGGCCTGAAAGCCAAATGTTACGTCTGGAGGAAACCTGGCACCATCCCTACGGTGAAGCATGGTGGTGGCAGCATCATGCTGTGGGGATGTTTTTCAGCAGCAGGGACTGGGAGACTAGTCAGGATCGAGGGAAAGATGAAAGGAGCAAAGTACAGAGATACTTAATGAAAACCTGCTCCAGAGCGCTCAGGACCTCAGACTGGGGCGAAGGTTCACCTTCCAACAGGACAACGACCCTAAGCACACAGCCAAGACAGCGCAGGAGTGGCTTCAGGACAAGTCTCTGAATGTCCTTGAGTGGCCCAGCCAGAGCACAGACTTGAACCCGATCAAACATCTCTGGAGAGACCTGTAAACAGCTTTGCAGCAACGCTCCCCATCCAACCTGACAGAGCTTGAGAGGATCTGCAGAGAAGAATGGGAGAAACTCCCCAAATGCAGGTGTGCCAAGATTGTAGCATCATACCCAAGAAGACTCGAGGCTGTAATCACTGCCAAAGGTGCTTCACAAAGTACTGAGTAAAGGGTCCGAGACAGGATGCACCTGAGCTCAATTTCGAGTCTCATAGCAAAGGGTCTGAATACTTATGTAAATAAGGTATTTCTGTTTAATTTTTTATATAAACATTTGTAAAAACCTGTTTTCACTTTGTCATTATGCAGTATTGTGTGTAGATTGATGAGGATTTTTGTTTTATTTAATAAATTTGAGAATAAGGCTGTAACGTAACAAAATGTGGAAAAAGGGAAGGGATCTGAATACTTTCTGAATGCATTGTAAATATATATATATATATGTATATATATATATATATATATATATATATAAATAAGTGTGTGTGTATAATAATTGGGACCCGTGGTCCGTATTTAGCCTGTTCTGGGTCCAGATCCGGACCATGGTCCACCTATTGTGTGTGACTGTTTTACAGCTTTGTCATTCTATTTTTCATATTTAAAACATCTTATTGTATTCTTTTGTATACACCTAGTTTACAGTACCTAAAATCCTTGAAAGTTTTAAATTCTGGTATTTTACTTAAGTTACCGGTAACATTCCCTCCCTTTGCAACCCTGAGCACACCTAACGTGTGTGTATGTGTGTGTGTGTAAGGGAATGCCACCAGTCTGTGAGGAGAGGGGGGAGTGTTCCTGAAGGGCTGACTTACATTCTGCCGGTGCGTGGACAGAGAGTGACTGAAGGCGTGCCTACTCTACCACCACCAACTCATCCAGAGGTCGCCCCTGTCTGCACATTGAGCCTACGCAAGAACATGTGGACACACACTACAGACTACGTCAGGATAGGACCTGTTGGGCAACACGCACACTACAGACTAGATGTTCAAAATAGAGTTAAAGGTCTCTATCTCAATATTAAATAATTTCTGGTCAACAATTAAGTACCTTACTGTGATTGTTTTCAACAAAAATGGTAAAAAAGAAACAAAAATAGCTTCTTAGCTAAATGTAATTTCTCATGCAAGAATTTTGCTAGGACTGTCTGGGAGTGGTCTGAGAGAGGGCCCTAATTAATTGGAGGAGCCTAATGGGAGGGATGTGTAATCTGAAAACTACCTGTGATTGGCAGAGGAGGGCAAATTATCTTTGTTATTGGTGAATTGTTTGGCTGGGTGCGGTCCAAAAACCCCAACCAGCCAAACAACTGAAATTTCAGGCAGTCTTTTCAAACAGCTCTTACACTAAAAGTGCATTATCATAATTTTCACAATTTCACAGTATTATTCCAACATAGTGTGGAAATATATATAAAACACAGGAAAATCTAGTTTTTGACTGCACTTCCCTTTTAAAATAGGATGACTAAGACCATGAATTTATCATCTATGAACATAATCGTTTGTGATTAAGAACAATTGTTTAATCTCAAACAAATCAAAACAGTATTGTCTGCAAAACCCATCTTGGCAAATGCATGTTTGTCATGTAAACTAATGAGGCACATTTGTACTCCGAGCTGATGCATACAAAGGGACGTTTTCCAATCAAATACGGTCTGTGAAACATAAGGTCATTACCCTGCGAAAGTAACCGCCCCTTTCCGCTTTACTTCCGTATCATGTATCCTAATCTTTTGAATGGGCTTCATACTGTATCACATTCGTAAAAACGCGGTCATTTAATATATATTCAATTATATTTGATTGTGCATTAATTTACTTCTACCAGATAGATGTTTTTGCGCTGAAGACCATTGCGCTACGTTTCTGCACATTTGAATACCATTCAGAAAGCCTACAAAAGTTCAAAAACGACAAGGCTACTTCATTGAAAATGATGTGCCACTTGCATAGCGTATTATGTTAAGTGATCAAGATGCAGTTCATTGGCATCAGATGTGTGATTGACTGTTACACTGCTGGGGAGCTTCTTTGAACATCAGCCTTACATGTACCATTTAGCTCCATCTACTGGGTGACAAAGGCAATGCTAAAACATAGCTCTAAGTCAGTCTATGGTTACGTCAATGGTTTATGTGAGCAGATATGAGTGTAATGATGTCTGTATTGCTTGGCGTATCTTACCTCTGAAGAACATCAAGCATGATGAAACAGCAAATAGTGTTTAGAAGTAAAACCATTCCAAAATGTCTTCTTACAAAACCATTTTATTCAGTGAAATTGAGTTGAAGAAACACCTTTCGGAGTTGGCAGCATTAAAATGTCATGTCTCATTATCATTGAACAATCTAAACAATTTAATGGGCATCCTGAAATAATTGTTCTCCTTTGAGTCATAATATCCAGCATAAAGTCAGTCAGCCGTTACCACCATCACAAGAGTAATTGAAAACACAGCCGCTAAAAAGCACTTCTTCAGTGACCTACATAGGACTCGTCTCCCATTACAGCAATAAAACATTCAATAAAACAGTAGACTAAAAGGACCATTTCAAAAGTTTCACAAAAGACAGTAATATGCATGGACAAAATGGTTTTAAAGTACTTTTTTTTTTTTTTTTTTTTATACATCGCGTTATTTTTCCGGAGCCATCGTTCACGGTTCGTCGAGAGACCTCATAACATATTCTTCGAAGGGTTTTAAAACAATGACCATATTTTACAAATCAAACGAAAAGATACCCCGACTATGGTTTCCTGGATTGTACTGATCTGGTAGTGATGGTCTAGCGCTACTCCTTCCGTTACCTCGACAGCTGGGCAGGGAAAGGGAACGGAACGGGAAGGGTGGCTGGGTCAGTCTCAGTACAATGCCTCAGCATTACTGCTCCTAGGCTTCTTGATCTTGTCAATGTTCTTCAAGATCATGTCGTGTAACGTTACCTGTAACAGAGCAGAGTTCAGGATTAAAAACACAATGTGTTATCTTGTGGGTAGAAATGGATGGTGAGGAAAACTATTCCAGTGTATAACAGGACATTTCACTCACGTATTGATTTCTCAGCTCTGAAACTATGACCTTGAGGCTGATGTATTTCTTCTCATCAATCTCCGTCACAGTGCGCCGGTAGTCCTCCTGTTTAGAGAAAGAGAAACATAAGGTAAATAGTAATGTAGGTGAAGGTAAATAATGCATACTAGGGTTGGACAATTTCCAAAATGTTCATAATGCCGCTTTGCCCTCAGTAAATGCACACAGTGTAGCGACAGGTCTGCAGTTAGCAATCACACTTACCACATGTGGGTATTTTGCTATTTTGGACACCAGCTTTGCTCTTGTGATGTAGTATCTATGGGCAGATAGGATATAAGATGGTTATATAGCCTACCACAGTAAGACTGAGTGTAAAGACTGGGTTGAGGTTCGTACCCAGATATCTGGTCGAGGTACGATGCTGCTTCCCCCTCCACTGTTCGGAGTTCAGCTACTGTCTCCTCCTGCAGACACCAAATCAGTGGTCGAGCCATGGTTCAATGTAGCTATACACTTAGATGAGACCTTAGGTACAGACAGCAATAAAAATGGTGCACCTTTTAATACATATAGACTAGTAGTCGAAATGCATTGCATTTGTGTGTCCTGAGGTACTATGCTGACTGCTCCTGTATGTATTATTTTGTAAATGTATTGTGTTAATAGTTCAATAAAGTTTACTGCAACTTAATGGCCGCCTACTCGTCTTCTTTCTCCTTTTAATAAATACAAAGTAAACGTAGCACCTGAATTGAAACCCCAAAGTTGTTGCCATCTTCTATTCTTGGGATAAGCAACTGAACCCACATTTTGACCTGAAGAACAAGACAGACAGATTATTAGGGACTACAGATAATGGGTGATATGTCCTTACCTAAGCTTATGGTATAGATTAAGGCAAATTATTATGGAAGAGACTGTGTGGGATAGATTATGGAAGTGACTGTGTGGGAAAACGCTATGTACCGTGTTACATTTCTCTATGAGTGTCCTGATCTCTGGCTTGACCTTCTCGATCAGGTCCACCAGCTTGGCGTTACTCTTCATCATCCCACCAGGCATGACAAAGACCTTGGTGCCAGCCTCTGTAGGAGGGGAGAGAACATTATTCCCTTGTGGCTCAGTTGGTAGAGCATGGCACTTACAACACCAGGGTTATGGGTTCAATTCCCACGGGGGACCAGTATGAAAAAGTATGCACTCACTACTGTAAGTCGCTCTGGATAAGAGCGTCTGCTAAATGACTACAATGTAACTGTAAGATGAACATACCTCTTACCACTGTGGGCTTGACCATAAGTAAACACCAGAAAAAACAGAAGAAAATACTCAAAATATGCATGTAGTATTACTCACCCTTGTCCTCCCCAGTACAATCTTCCATTTTCCTCTTTTTGGCATTTTGCTGCGAAGAGGATATCAATTTGTTTACATCTGTTACAATTACAGATGGCATTTGGTCATCACAGTGTGTTTAATTCCATTCCAAGTCTCACCGCTTCAAGTCCGTCGTGGAGATGGTTTGAGAGTAGAATGGGGTCTGGCACTGTCAAGTTGATTTCTGAGTGTATCTCCTTAAGTTCACAGATGTTTAAAATGGGATCCTGAAAAAGATGGGCCACAACACATGCACAACACATGCACTCTAAAGGGAAGTTGGAGGACATTTGACTAATCATTTACATTTTGATTACATAAATAAGTTTACCTTGAGGAAATTGTCAAGTTCCAATAACTTATTTGGGAAAAAACTTGCAACTAGGTTCTCCGCCTGTGAAACAAGGAGTTTATTTGGAAAATGACATTCAGATCTACCTATAGGTAGCTAGCTACAATATCTTGATACTTTTGACCCCCACTGAATACAGTGAACAACTGAAAGGAAACTCACCTCCCCAGTAATTCGTTCTCTGAAAGCATCGACCTGTACAAAAACAACAACTGTCATATCACAGGCAAGTAAATAAATGTTCAATAATCAGCAGGCATGTTTGAATAAAACATGTAATTAGGATTCGATTAGGATACTGTCTGCAAGATGATGCTAATCATCAGTCAACGTCAATTCAATATGCTAGCTGGCTACGTCTAAAAATGGTGCTGAATTGAGTTACCGGTACCTTGACACCGTTAGCTAACTAACTAACTACCAATACTCGCCCTTTATGAAACATGCGGCACAAGCAACAATAACCCTTTTATTATGGAAATGCACCTGTTGTTAGACAGTTTGCCTTGTCCGTTATGACAGGCGCGGGAAGATAAAGCAAGTTAGCTTTAGCACTTTGCCTCACTGACTAATAATTGCTTGCTAGCTAGCTCTAACATTACAAGCAACTTCACCCAAGATTTCGAATGACATGTGGACGTAAATTATGTTTTACCTTAGTGTTAAGCTCATTGTCCACCTTGAGGAGTGAATGCATCTTCTTTAACCACAAATGGAGGAAATACGATTGTCCTCACTGCATTCAATTTGGGGCTAAACGTGCGGCTAACCCACTCCTGTCAGCCACACTTGTGTTCTTAAAAATGACGTATTCAACATTGAGACAACATGACAAACGAACACGCATGCGCAGTAATGGTGCTTTCATGACAAATTGGAACTCGGAAAAAAATAACGTCAAATCATGACATCGGCGATCTTCAGGTCGGAAAGTCGGAGTTCTAGAAAGATACACGAGTTTTCCATTTGGAATTCTGAGTTGGATGACGCTTCAAAACACATTTTCCAAGTTTCCAGTTGTCGTGAACACACTGAAGTCGGAGAGATTTCCGAGTTCCCAGTTGTTTTGAACGCGGCATAATTATGCACTGAACGCGCCATCGTATTTTTCAGCTGACGATGTAAACAAGATCATTGGCGAATGCAAGAACTCGATTTGTCCACAATACTCATAAATGATTCTCCTTATTTAATCACAAAAAGCAGCCATGGGGCTACCTGTTACGATTAAAGTGAATTTCAGGGGGAATGTAAAGAGATTTGTGGCTCCAGATTTGGACAAATCGGAATTGGAGTCGGTGGAAGCCTGGGTAAGTAGCTAACGTTAGCTATCTAACGCTGGCGCAGTTTAGCTAGACAAGTTAGCTGCATTCTTCGAGACTAGTAGGCCTAGCCATGGCCTAGTTACCACAAACGTTGGACCACAATAAGGACATTTGTCTGCAAATTATCTTTATAGCAACAAATTATAGTATTATTATATGTGATGTGATCCAGTTATGCTGATCCTGAATCATCATGCTATGCTCTTTGAATTATTTCTGCAGATAAAAGCATCATTTGGCATAAGCCATTTCCAAGTGAAATATTTTGATGAGGACAATGAGGAGGTGAGTTCAAAAGTATTGTGTTCTATTGTGTATTATTTCTAATGCAGGACAAAGTCCTCACTTTGCTCGATCATTCACATGGTTCCAACATTTCTGATGTACAACAACAATGGTATGGGACGAGGGATACATTAGCTGATTCCAAATTATGTTTTTTCAGAAGGCATTCTGTAACACTAATCACGATCTCTTTGTTTCAGGTTTCCATTAACAGTCAAGGTATGGAAATTAAGTGATATCTTAATCTAGGGGCAACATTATTCTCAGCTAAATCACAATGATATGCCATTACATTTCTCCATCTTTAATGTGGTGGTTATTAGTTAAAGCTTTCCCGATCATAATTGAGAGGTCACACCAACACAAATGTGTTCTCTGATCTTATTTGTTCATCTATATTTTTCAGAGGAATATGAGGAGGCGGTGAAGGTATTCAAACTTACATGTTTTTTCATATATTTCAAAGGCTAAAAAAACATTATATGAACTAGTTCTTCCAGTCTGTAAAATGCTGTTTGGAATTACTGAACGTGCCATTGGTATGTGCTATTTCGCCAGAGTGCAGAGAAGCAGGGGAACCAGTTGCACATGAACGTTTACAAGACAAAGCAGGTTCAGGCTGGCACTGGGCTGGTCAAGGCCCAAGATGTGAAGGAGTTGAAGGGTGACCTCCGGCCAGCCCCTCCATACCCCTCCAGGGTCAAGACAGTGGACAAAGGCACACAGGTCACCCCTGAGCGAGATGTTGTAAGATCACCACACACAGCTTTCAATGTTGATGCAATGTTGTCTGAATGTAAGAAAAGTTATATACTTGTCAGGATGGTATAGTTTTGCATGAGCGATACATTCGCTGACTTCAGGAAAGATTGTGAAAATGTAATAATAAAACACACACTATTTGGTTTCATAGTATGACTTTGACAAATCATAAATGAGTTTAGTGTCAATCATTTGATTTTATAGGTGGTTGTGAAGGACAACAAATTGACTAAGCCAGAGGATAAGCCTCCCCCAGCTTGGTTCAGGTCTTACATGGAAAAAGTAAGTCCATATTGAAATTATATATATTTCAGTATAATAAACCAAAAAAATCTACTTATTTATTTAAGAACCCATTTTAACGGGATCCCTCTCTCCTTTCAGTTCAAGGATGAGGTGGTAAAGGAAGTAGTGGAGAGGATGTGTAATGACTTCTCTGGCCAGTGCTGCACCCACAAGGCTCCTGACCCTGATGGGCCCCTCGAGGCCCTTGGAGCTGTGGGTGGAGTCAATGTCAAGGGGCCAAAGATCAGCTCCTTCTCCACTGGGCCCCCCGCCTACACCTCATTGGGCTACACTCCTGACTGCAGCAAATGCAAGAGACCAGCCTCCGATGGAGCGTATCAGTGCAGGTAGACCCATCACAACAATAATAGATCGATATTATTATGTTATTAATGAGCTCATGAGTTGAAATAAAAGGAAAATGTTTATTTTGCTGATTTCTCATGAAATATGTCACTTTCAATTAGTAATATAAATAACGTTGTCCTTACCTCCTTTCTGGTGTCCTGTTTTTCTCCAGTGTGTGTCCATCCTGCATCTTATGTGAGCTGTGTCGACACAGCCACGACCCCAGCCACAACCTGGTGAGAACCAAGACACCCCTCTCCATCCCTGAGCATGGGATGTTAGGAGAATTAAGGTTAGCCTGCTGAATGTAGAAGCCTGCCTTTACTGTGTTACTGTGTTACTCTACTTATCTTGCTTTCTTGTAATGTCAGGAGATGTTCAACTTTCACACCTCCCACTGTATTTTTTAAACTTCTGTATTTTGTTTGTACCCAGGTTCCCAAGGCGAGGAGACAGGACGGTGCGCAAGGCTGAGCGTCAGCGCCTCAAAGCTGAGAGGAGGCAGCTCAAGGCCGAGGTGAAGGAAATCAAGAAGAAGCTGAGGCTGGAAAAGAGGGGCCTGCAATGGAGCGGCCCTGCCAATAACTTCGCCAGATCCATCATGGCCGCCACCCAGGCTCCAGCCCTGGCCCCTGCTCCTGCTGCTACTCAGGCCCCAGAACCATCCCCAGGTCCTGCCCCAGACCCCCAGGCCTCCAGTCCAGAGTAAGCGCCACCCTTGGAGGGCGTCAGAGTGCTGGCTGTCTCTAGGCCCAGCATGGAGCAAAAATCAAATATTTTCTCAAGAAATAGGCCATCTTTGTAATAGTTGTATTAGAGTTTATCGCTGGTGGATGATGGAACTACCTCACGTGTGAAACTGCTGCTGCTGCTTCATAGATTTCTAAACAAAAAATAGCTTTGAGTTGCAAAAAGGATCCTGCTGCTTTTATGATTCATAGAAAAAAAAGAGAGATGGGTCTGAAGCCAGGGCTGTTTTCAACAATGCTCTGTACACTTGAAACACTAGGGGTCCCGAGGTCTCCCACACCACCTTGGTGCCCACTATGGCTGCCTTGTTTCTGGATGAAAACCTGCCCGATGGGACCCGCCTAGAGCCCGGCACCAAGTTCATCAAGTACTGGAAGATGAGGAACTCGGGCACCATCAACTGGACCTCAGAGACCAAGGTACGCCCCCAAGAGGACCGATTTCAGTCCCTAACCTGCATACTAGAACGATCTCAATCCCTAACCCGAATACTAGAACTAACTACACCTAATTGTAACTATTGATTACATATAATTAGTACTTACCCTGTCTGTTAAGTTCTCTGTTGAAGTGTTTGTGTCTGGGTCCTTGTGTTTGTGTCAATGTATTTGTGTCTTCTTTGCATGTCTGTGTCTTTGTGTGTGTGTCTGTCCCTAGCTGAAGTTCATGTGGGGTAACCTGGCCCTGGCGTCCGAAGAAAAGCGCGAGGTGGCCGTGCCCCTGCTGCAGCCGGGCCAGGTGGGCGTGGTCAGTGTGGCCTTCATTGCCCCGGTGATGGAGGGCCCCTACACCTCCCACTGGCGCCTGGCGCACTGCGGAGACCAGTTTGGCCCCCGCGTGTGGTGCAGCATCGTGGTGGCCCCCAGCACCAGCCGAAACACCAACTGTCCTCAGAGCAAACGCCTGGCAAGTCAACCAGCTCTGTCCCATTCACATTTGTTTAGCCAAGATACACACTAGTACAGGGCCAGATCTACTAAGAACATTTGACATCAGGTACAAAGCAATAATATTTAGCTAATTCAGACCCTTATACAGGTCTGGATTTTCTAAGCATCAGGTAAACGTTACAGGAATAAAACATCAAAATCCAGCCTATTTCCACCATTATATCATGTGATGACGTTCTCCTCCACGGTGCTTCAGAAGGAGGAGCCCAGCCCCAGGCCTGTGGTTGTGGAGAAGGTAGAGGGGAGGTCCAGCTCCAGGGACAGTGGTCTGGCCATGTCTGTAGACGACTGCCACATAGACTACTACTTCCACTCTGTAGACCTGCTCACTGCACAGGTGAGGAAAGACTAAGGTCCGGGCAAGTCAAGGCATGTTGGCTTTGCCACAAAGGTAGACTGTAGTATGACATCACCATACACCACAGGGCAACTTCCTGCTTTATTCAATGACTGAACAATATTTGTATTTTTTGTTTTTGTGTGTGTTTCTTTAGGATCTGTTGTCCTTTGAATTGCTGGATATGAACATTGTACAAGAGTTGGAGAAAGTTCCAAACAACACTCCAGTCGGTAAGAAATTATATGATACCACCACAATGCATGGCAAGATATTTCTGTGGGGCTTTTTTCAGATATTCAGAGAATTTCAAGACATAATGCTTGTGTGTTGATGACTGAGATGAGTTCGTTTTTGTTCCATTGGTAGATCTGACCCCCTGTATGTCCCCTCTGCCCCACGACGGCCCTCTACTGGAGAACCCAGGCCCTGCTCTGATCAACAACAACCCTGAGATGAACAGAGTAAACAACCTGCTAGGTAAGACAGAGGGCAGAGGCCAATGTCGTGGTCCTTCAATTAACTATTTTATCCAGTAAATAAAAGACAAGTCTATATCAAATTGTGAGTTTTGTTGATTATGATTGACAACTATGGATTTAAGAATATAGGCTAGACCTGAGGCTTTATGTTAACTAAGGGGCGTGTCAGCTTGAGTAGAATAAGATGAGAAAAAAAGCTTTGATCACAGTGATGACCCCATACCAGACACAGCCCTAATCTTTGTATTGTGTGTGTTGTGGTCAGGTGTGAAGAGGGAGAACTCGGACCCCCTTGGCCACGAGGATGGGGACGAGGGGGACATCAGCGGGTCCCAGTTTGTGTGTGAGACTGTGATCCGCTCCCTCGCCCTGGAGGAGGCTCCCGACCACAAGCCCCCGCGCAGACATCAACCTAGTTACTGCAAGCCCAAAGGTGAGGCGGCCATCTTGTTTAGTTGAATTTCCCAACAAAATGGGAAAGCATGACTGAATGACCATGATATGAGACTCAGTTGAATGATAAAGTATGGCTCTTCTGTCCACACACTAGCTGTGGTCTTGGTCTTGTTATCTGACTGTGCAAATGGGGGGAAGTTAAAAATGAAAGTAACACCAGTTTTTGTTTTGTGTTTGAAGCACTCCCAGCTGAAGCCCTGGGCCCTGTCTTTGACTATGAGAGGAAAGTACTTGACACTGCAGTAAGAGTGGCAGGACCAGATGTGCTGATGATGGGGGTTATGAGAGGTCAAGGTTCACCTCCAGGCCTTCCCCAGATCACACTGTCAGAGGAGGAGACCGTCACAGGTAAGAAACAACTCTCAATGCAGTCAGTCTGCTTCTGTTTACACGCACTAACTAGTAGTAACTCTCAAGTCAAAATGCGCCAATTAAATGTTCTCACCTTTTACACATTGGCAATTGTAAATTATATCACCAGACATAATCAGAATTTGTTTTGGGGTTAATGTATATCTTTTTTTTTCTCATTGCATTGTCCTCAGAGGTTGAAAACGTGTACATGGAACTGCATGCATTGAAGGAGGAGGACAAGGAAGACAACAAAGCAGGAAATGATGTGAACGAAAAGAAAGAGGAGGATGAAAATAATGACAGCTACGATGAGATTGAAGAGGAGGAGGAGGAAGATGAGACAGTAGACTGGGACGAGGTGAGCAGCCAGATCTCCACCTTGTCCTCGTCCTCGTCCTCCTGCGAAGACTACGTCATCGTCCTGCCCGACTGCTTCGACACCAGTCGGCCGCTGGGCGAGTCCATGTACAGCTCCGCCCTCTCGGAGCCTGTCACTACTGCAGCCGCGGAGCAGGAGGAGGAGTCGGACTCGGAGCGTGAGGAACAGGACAGAGCCACCCCAGAGGGGGAGAGGCAAGAAGGGGCCGGGGCTGCAGCCACAGTCACGGAGGCCCCAATCCACAGCAGTGTCAATCAGATGCTGTGTGCCTCCCAGACACTGGACGCCGTGCCCCTCACCCCCGTGGTGGTGCCCCCGCCCGTCCCTCTCCTGCCCCCACAGGCCCTGTACACACACAGGTGAGAGGGCTCTCTGATGCAACAGTAGTCTATTAGCAATGATATTACAGGGCCCAACACACAGAGGTGAACAGGGGACAATGAAATTACGATAGATGATAGGTTACAGTTCTATCACGTTTGCAATGTGTTTTATTTTGAAGTGAAGTGTGCAAATTGTTCAGTATCTAATCTAGTATGTCTATTGGAATTATACTGTTGTCAACTCTTCCTTCTCTTCGATTAGTATGATGTTTTTGTTCTGTTTCCCAGGTCTGAAGCGGTCCATGTTGCAGAGCCAACGAGTCAACAAGTGTCTGGACCAGTAGAACCATGCCAACCAGCGGTCCATTTAAATGGTGAGTGTTAGACAAGGCAGGCTGGGAAGTGTCTGCAAAATACAGCCTTTTCCCTGCATTAAGCAGACGCAACATGTTTTGGAAGCTCTGATCACACAAAGGACAAATTTGACTTGCATGACTCTTGTTAGCTTTTAAGCTAGTCTTGTGGACCACTTTACCGTCTGTGGCCACTGGCCAGAAAGGAAACGTGTGTGTCTCTTTGGAGAGAGGGGAACTAGATGTTATTTCAAGACTTCTTACATCAGCAAAACATCTGTCTGTGTTCTGTGTAGTTCTCTCATCCAGTGAGTGTTCTCTCTTTTTTTCCCCATCTATATTTCAGTATCTAGTCACACCAGACTGGTAGGCTCAGCCAGTGTCTTGGAGATGCACAACTCCAGACCCCGCAGCTCCCTGCACCGAAGGTGAAACACCTTCCTACACAATATTAAGCCTAGTTTAGTTTTAGAAGTAATCTACACGTCTATTGCTGTAAAAAAAAATATATCCTCATTTGTGCTAGATGGGACACTTGCTTTTCTACCAATAAATTAGTATTTGAAAGCAAAGTTTTAAAATCTACTGGTCATTCATTGGTAATAGGCCCTACAGTATGATAAAACTGTAAATGACAAAATTGCTATAAATAGAAGATATTTGAATACCTTTTTGGAGTGATCTCATTGATGATATAACACTGTGATATAACAACTCCTGTTGATACACGGTCTTGTGAATGCAAACCTCTGGCCCTGGAACAGATTGTTCCCCATAAGTATAGTGGCTGAGCACATCCTTCCTGTTCAATAGGGGCCAAGGCGGTATCACAGAGGGACTTGTCAAGGGGGCTCTGTCAGTGGCAGCGTCCGCCTACAAGGCTCTCTTCACTGGACAGAGCTGCTCCACACAGGTAGGTCCCACATACAGCACAATCAACCACCTCGTCACACACTGCCATGAGATAAACTTGACTCAACTTTGAATATGCTGTATGATAAATGGTTATAATATCATGAAGTGATTATTACATACAATTGTGATAAGTTATTTATCCATTTTGAAGCGTCTTTACATTTGGCTCAAAAGACAAAAGTGATGCATGTCTTCTTGACTTACAGCATTACTGTATAACTCCTGTGCACTTTAACATGACAAACCAGAACTAACCTTTGACCTGGCTCCCCCATTCCCTTCACCCCTGCAGCGTGGTGTGGACCCGGCCAGCCAGGACGCCTCCATGATGGCTGTACTACTGGAGATGGGCTTTGGGGACCAGCGGCTCAATCAGCGGCTGCTGAGGAAGCACAAACACAACCTGCTGCACACTGTCAACGAGCTGGTTGCCAAGGCCGACAACGAATGGGGCACCGCCACACGCTACTGATGGGCCAGTTGGCAAATAAGCCGGGCCCCTACGCAACCCCTGACCTCTGTGACACCCAATGAGAGAGATGGGGTTTTCAGTATGGAACTGATGTCACAGACATGTCACGTTAGCATGTTGGAAATGTCAGTTTCCTAGTTCCGACTAGCATGTGACTGCGGCATATTGACAGTGCTATGGTAGGTTGTCTGTCCAAAGAGAATGGAGGTTGTTGGTATTGAATGTAACCAGAATTAAAAGTCCACTTTTCTCCTTCGCAGATGGTATTGGGACTACTCTTGTCGTTTTGAAGGATTTACAGGGTTGATTCACAGGGGAATTCAATTACATAGGAATGCTAAGGAACGGAGATGTCAGATTCCTTTCGATTTCTGTTAGCTATAGTAGTTAATCGGCCTGAACATTGCAATCTTGTATGTATCAAAAGTACTGTTATTTTAGATGTTACGCAACAAGCAACAATTGACCTGTGGATTGTGTAAGGAACAGGCACTGCAGATTAAGGAAATAAAATGTTTATTTTTAAGAGACGCCTGCATGTCAGGTTTAAGCATATATTAGTCATATAGTTGTTGTACCATAGGAGTCACAGCTATAAATGTTGGCTCTTTGTCACACATGTCCTCAAGTTCATACTTTCACACTGTAAGAATCATCCTCATTCATATATTTACATCATATAACACTACGTATATCATTTTTTTTACATTTTAGTCATTTAGCAGACGCTCTTATCCAGAGCGACTTACAGTTAGTGAGTGCATACATTTTTCATATCCAACCATAACATCTACAGTACCAGTCAAAGGTTTGGACACACCTACTCATTCAAGGGTTTTTCTTTATTTTTAATATTTTCTACATTGTAGATTAATAGTGAAGACATCAAAACTATGAAATCAAAATATATTTTGTATTTGAGGTTCTTCAAAGTAGCCACCCTTTGCCTTGATGACAGCTTTGCACACTCTTGGCATTCTCTCAACCAGCTTCACCTGGAATGCTTTTCCAACAGTCTTGGAGTTCCCACATATGCTGAGCACTTGTTGGCTGCTTTTCCTTCACTCTGCAATCCAACTCATCCCAAACCATCTCAATTTGGTTGAAGTCGGGTGATTGTGGAGGCCAGGTCATCTGATGCAGCACTCCATCACTCTCTTTCTTGGTCAAATAGTGCTTACACAGCCTGGAGGTGTGTTGGGTCATTGTCCTGTTGAAAAACAAATTATAGTCCCGCTAAGCACAAACCAGATGGGATGGCGTATCGCTGCAGAATGCTGTGGTAGCGATGCTGGTTAAGTGTGCCTTGAATTCTAAATAAATCACAGTGTCACCAGCAAAGCACCATCACACCTCCTCCATGCTTCATGGTGGGAACCACACATGCGGCGATCATCCGTTCACCTACTTTGCATCTCACAAATACATGGCGGTTGGAACCAAAAATCTCAAATTTGGACTCATCAGATCAAAGGACAGATTTCCAGCGGTCTAATGTCCATTGCTCGTGTTTCTTGGCCCAAGCAGGTCTCTTCTTCTTATTGGTGTCCTTTAGTAGTGGTTTATTTGCAGCAATTCGACCATGAAGGCCTGATTCACGCAGTCTCCTTTGAACAGTTGATGTTGAGATGTGTGTTACTTGAACTCTCTGAAGAATTTATTTGGGCTGCAGTTTCTGAGGCTGGTAGCTCTAATGAACGTTTCCTCTGCAGCAGAGGTAACTCTGGGTCTTCCTTTCCTGTGGCGGTCATGAGAGACAGTTCCATCGTAGCGCTTGATGATTTTTGCAACTGCACTTGAAGAAACTTTCAAAGTTCTTGAACTTTTCCGTATTGACTGACCTTCATGTCTTAAAGTAATGATAGACTGTTGTTTCTCTTTGCTTATTTGAGCTGTTCTTGCCATAATATGGACTTGGTCTTTTACCAAATAGGGCTATATTCTGTATACCACCCCTACCTTGTCAGAACACAACTGATTGGCTCAAACGCATTAAGAAGGAAATAAATTCCACAAATTAACTTTTAACAAGGCACACCTGTTCATTGAAATGCATTCCAGATGACTACCTCATGAAGCAGGTTGAGAGAATGCCAAGAATGTGCAAAGCTGTCATCAAGGCAAAGGGTGGCTATTTGAAGAATCTCAAATATAAAATATATTTTGATGTAACACTTTTTTTGGTTACTACATCATTCCATATGTGTTATTTCATAGTTTTGATGTCTTCACTATTATTCTACAATGTAGAAAATAGTAAAAATAAAGAAAAACCCTTGAATGAGTAGGTGTGTCCAAACTTTTGACTGGTACTGTACAAGAGACATTCCTACGTTTGTTCATGGAACCAAGTTTCTCATAGTTTTTATTTTATTTTTATGCGTATCAGTAGTGACTGGTTCATGTGTTACTATGGTGATTTTACATTAATGGTAATGTGAGTGCATAGGTTTTAATCATTGTATATTGCTATTATGTTTGATAGTTTTCTCTGTATTTTTCCAGTTAGAGAAAATGAGGTTCAAATACACTTTAAATTATCATGCTTTAGAAGAAATGCTGAATATATTTACTGTGCTTGGTCAAGGGCTTTCCTTTCATTCAGCGTGTAAGTAAGTACCCTGCAATTGTCAATCAGCCAATAAACAACTTGCACAATACTCCTTAAGTTGCTGAAATGTATTTTCAACATGGCTGTTTGAATGGCAGGTCAGCATTTTTCTTGTTCTGGAGGAAGCTCTGCAGAGTGGTCACTAGCTTGCACAGCCACAAAGTCATAAAATCTGATTTTAAACCTAACCACACTGCTAACCCTAACTTTAAGACCAAAAAGCAAATTTTTGTTTTCATGAATTTTTACAATATATACTTTTCTTACTTTGCATTTGGCGTATCTAAGGGGAACTCGCTCAGTTATGCCTCAAGGACAAGACTCATGACAAACGTCAACCAGCATTTGAATGGCACTGCATTTTATGGGATTCTGTCAATTTAGTGTCTGATGACTTGTTCAACTTAAAATAGGTTAACTTTGGTTAATGTGTATGGCACAAAAGAGCTGAAATGTATAGAAATGATGGTAACTTTCATGCTTGATGGTACTCTATTATGTAGGTACAGTTTGTCAGATAAAATGGGACTTCCCTATTTAAACCATTGTTGGCCACCTTTATTAACGCCAGGTGATCTCTCGTTAAAACATCAATACAGCCAAAGATGTCGGTATTTCTTTCTCCCCAAATCTTCATTAACTTCACAATACATTTAAGATACTTTAGGTAGGATGATTTGGACATTAAGCACGAAAATGCTAATATAGGTACAATTGACTTGCATTGGATTTGTGCCACAAATGCTTGAAATTTAGCATTTGAAACAGTGGCCAGGTAAACAAAATCAAAGCATAGATTGCTGTCACCTTGTCCATAGACTGCTTACAGGGTAACGAAACCAATGTCATTTTGTAATTTGGGTGACCTATCCCTTTAAGTTCTGCCCGTTGGTTGCATCGAACGTATCTTTAGAAATTGGACATAGGCCTACCGACTGCCATGTATTGCTTTGCTTTGCCCAAACTTAATCTTAAACAAATTCTAGGTGCATATAATAAGCTTTGTTGTGGTTAATGCTAGTAATTTACCACCAAGTGGCAGCATACATCATTCTGACACGACGTCTGCTTTTCAAACGCTTCAAGTAGGAAGTGATTTCGTCACTTCGCAAGATGAACTATGTAACGTTAGGAGAAAAGTCCAACATTCGTTCATCTTTGACTGGTATAAAACATGTTTGGCTGCGAGTATTTACCAACAATTAGCCGCACTGAAAACCTGCTGGACATCAGGTTATGAGGTAAGTGCGCCGAAGCAAAAGCATATCAACTTTCCACACTGTCAGCTGAACTAATGCGTTGTCATTGTTGAGTTTTATGATGTATTTTAAAAATGATAGTATATTAGTATATTATATCATGTGATTGAAGATATGTAATGTGAAACAACATCTATGTAAGGAATTTATAGTAAGGATGATAGATAAAATGCGTAAATGCTGTTATCAAGTCACATTCCTGGTTTTTACTCCAAATCTATACAAATGAGAAAGTGTTACATGGAATTACAAAGCCATACACCCCAAAGCCCTACACCCCTAGCAAAATTGTGGCAAAAAAGCTCATTCCTCTAAACATCTCATCTCATAGAACGTATAAAAATAAGGTATAGCTTTATCTAACCGAGTAGCAGGCGATCATAGAGATAAGATACAGTGATGCTACTGTCTTGTCTTTACAGCAATGGTGAGGACTTTGGCCTCCTATGGATCTAGATGCAGGGAAATTATTTTATAGAGGCAGGTTTAAGGTTTATGGTGTTGCACTATAAAGAGCAAATACGTGATCATTCAGGTTTCACAAAGAGGTCCAACACCAAGGTTCTGCTTATAGAGAGAGCAATACAGCTCTAGACAATATCAGTCATACTTGTTCATGTGAAAAAAAAGTGAGAGAATGCATGGCTGATGCCACCTTTTAACAGCAGACTGGGGGTTGTGTTTGTGTTTCTCCCAGCAGATAGGACCATGGTCACTTTCGGACACCCCAATGCCTCCAAGGACACAGAGGCCATCATGCCTCAGGAACAAGAACCGGAGAAGAGAAGATTTCGGTCCCACTCCCAACTATATGGAGCCATCGGGGACAGCATTGGCAATTTAGGAGATACCTGTCCGACTTGTCGGGGAATAGGGCGTATTCCAAGAGGTAGGTGGCCCACTTCAGCCAGACTGACTACTTAGTTGCTCCTGTGACTAACTTACATGTCGATATTGGGACTATTTCCATGTTAGTATTCAAGACTTGCTGATGGGATTCGGGAAGTGTCTTTCTGAAACTATTAATAACCCACACTTGTTTTAAGAGAAGTGAGAGTCACTGTTGTGTGTTGTGTGTAGTAAGGCTGACATGCCAATAGAGCCATATCTGTAACAGTGAAATAATAACCCACCTTACTGTTCTCTGAATAGGACATGATCAGCTAGTGGCAGTCATTCCATGTTCGGACAAAAGACTGAAGCCCAGCCGCACGTAAGTGTGTGTGTGTGTCTGTTTTTGTGCGTCTGATTGTTTGTGTGTGTGTGTGACTGTGTGATGTGTTTTACCCATACGAGACACTGTATACAGTAAGATTCTCTGTGTGTTTAATCAAAATATAGTATTACGCATAGTTAACTCTTAATTTTCCAGGAAACTCTACGTGTGTATCTCGGTGGTGCTGTGTCTCCTGGTCTGCTGTCTGATCCTCTTCTTCCTCTTCCCACGGAGTATCTCACTATCCCCTGTCGCCGTCCAATCAGTGATGGTCTTCTTCACCCCAGACACTGTTGAAATGCAAGTCATGGTAAGTACGTGACGTATACATGCCACACTCCCTTAGACATCAAAGACAATGTGTGATCACTCATTATTTGGTTCATTGCATGAGGTCAGTGTGATCAAACTGTGTTTCCTCTTCTAGAATGTTTTCAACTTCACCAATGAGAACTTTGCGGAAATGGAAGTCCTGGACTTTGATATGCAAGTGCTGATCGCTGAAACAGTGGTGGGCAGAATCAAGATATCTAATATGACCTCGGTCAAATCACGTTCAGAGAAAGCGGTGAGTGTAATATTGTTGTTTAATATAAGTCATAATGCATCAGGTATCCTAGCGGTTAAAAGCGTTGGGCCAGTAATTGAAAGGTTGCTGGTTTGAATCCCGAGCCGACTAGGTGAAAAATCTGCCGATGTGCCCTAGAGCAAGGCACTTAACCCTAATCGCTCCTTTTAAGTCGCTCTGGATAAGATAAATGTCTGCTAAATGACTAAAATATAAAATGACACAATTGTAATACTGTGTCGTGCAAAGCACTTTCCTTTATGGTCCCATATGAAACAGTTTGACCTTCATTTCCAATCTAATTGAGTTTTTTCTGGTCTCCTTTTTTATGTCCGTACAGTATACTGTTGTCATACCCATAATAATTGAGGACCCAGGCCTGAAGTAAGCATGACATTTATTATCACTTACATGTTCAATATCATTACCATCACTACTTCTAAATTAGGAAGGAAATATAGTATTATCTGTGTACATTATAGTACCCTATGTATGTACTCTTGGCTAGGACCTACAGTGCATTCGGAAAGTATTCAGACCACTTGACTTTTTCCACATTTTGTTACGTTACAGCCTTATTCTAAAATTGATTAAATCCCCCCCCCCCCCCCCATCAATTTACACACAATACCCCATAATTGCAAAGCAAAAACAGGTTTTTAGAAATGTTTGCAAAAAAACGTGGAAAAAGACAAGGGGTCTGAATACTTTCCGAATGCACTGTATATGAATTAAACTTACAGTACATTCTTGGTTTTGTTTTCGAAATATATGATTTTCTTTCTGTTATATGTTTAGGCTAGTAAATGTCTTCATAACTCTTCTGTTTCAGTAATTACTGCAAGTCAACCTCCATAAGGATTCACACCTTGTTCTTGCATTTGCAGTGGGTATCACACTTTTATTTTAAGATATGTTAATTAAAGGACCAACCACAAACACATCCGTCTCACCACATACACTTCAGCATCTGACTACTAGGCTGTAGTATGCCTAGCTTCAATGCTTATCTACAGTATGCCCCATTAACTTCCCATTTCAACATACACTGTATATACAAAAGTATGTGGTCACATCTTCAAATTAGTGGATTCGGAAATTTCAGCCACACCCGTTGCTGACAGGTTTATAAAATCGAGCACACAGCCATGCGATCTCCATGGACAAACAATGGCCTTACTGAAGAGCTCAGTGACTTTCAACATGGCACCGTTATAGGATGCCACCTTTCCAGTTGGTCAAATTTCTGCCCTGTTAGAGCTGCCCCGGTCAACTGTAAGTGCTGTTATTGTGAAATGGAAACGTCTAGGAGCAACAATGGCTCAGCCTCAAAGTGGTATGCCTCACAAGCTCACAGAACGGGACCGCCCAGTGCTGAAGCGCGCAGCGCGTAAAAATGGTCTGTCCTCCGTTGCAACACTCACTACCGAGTTCCAAACTGCCTCTGGAAGCAACGTCAGCACAATAACTGTTAGTCGGGAGCTTCATGAAATGAGTTTCCATGGCCGAGCAGCCGCTCACATGCCTAAGATCACTTTGCGCAATGCCAAGCGTCGGCTGGAGTGGTGTAAAGCTCGCCGCCATTGGACTCTGAAGCAGTGTAAACGCGTTCTCTGGCGTGATGAATCACGCTTCACCATCTGGCAGTCCGACGGATGCCAGGAGAACGCAACCTGCCCGAATGCATAGTGCCAACTGCAAGGTGTGGTGGAGGAGGAATAATGGTCTGGGGCTGTTTTTCATGATTCGGGCTAGGCCCCTTAGTTCCAGTGAAGGCAAATCTTAACGCTACAGCATACAATTACATTCTAGACAATTCTGTGCTTCCAACTTTGTGGCAACAGTTTGGGGAAGGCCCTTTCCTGTTTCAGCATGATAATGCCCCCGTGCACAAAGCGAGGTCCATTCAGAAATGGTTTGTCGAGATCTGTGTGGAAGAACTTGACTAGCCTGCACAGAGCCCTGACCTCAACTCCATTGAACACCTTTGGGATGAATTGGAACGCCGACTGCGAGCCAGGCCTAATCGCCCAACATCAGTTCCCTACCTCAATAATGCTCTTGTGGCTGAATGGATGCAAGTCCCCGCAGCAATGTTCCAACATCTAGTGGAAAGCCTTCCCAGAAGAGTGGAGGCTGTTATAGCAACAAAGGGGGGACCAACTCCATATTAATGCCCATGATTTTGGAATGAGATGTTCAACAAGCAGGTTTCCACATACTTTTGGTCATGTAGTATATCTCAACTGGAACCATCCAGCCACTCACATATCCTATACTTCTAAGAATGATTTACAAAGTAGTTTTGCTGACGATTCTTGTTGTCAGTGGCCTTGAAGACCTTTGGCCAAGTAAACATGTTTTGACCAACTTCTTTCTTCTGAATTTTGCTTTTCAAGACCCAACACGATTGGAGCCAAAATAGGAATGTTTTTAGCCTTTTCAAAACGTGGATGAATTCCCCCTTTCAAGCCACGTGTTCAAAACATGTCACTCATTTGTTTCATGTCCATTTGGGATGAATCAGGCTGTAAACCTAGTACCGTTGTTAACTATAGTCATTCCTTTTAGCTCATAAACCAAACCAATTTACAGTTGTTGCATTTGTTTTATTACCGAAAAAGATAGTCAGGAATAACGGAATAAGAAACGTTTGAACTTTGACCATTTTTCACATTTTGAAACACGAGACTGTGCACTTGCAGTTGAAGATTTCAAAATGCCTGCCTTAATATTCCCTTTTTGTCTTTCACAGAATGACAATGGATGTGTCTTACCTGGCTCACTCGGAGCAGCTGTCCAAAGACACCTTTGAGTACATTGACTGTGGAGCCAACACGACCATCCCCCACCCTATCGGGCAAATTATTTTTGAACGATGAAAGCCTGGCAAAGAGGGATTCCCAAAGTGAAAAGATGTATTATTAACAAGATAGACTTGTCAAAGGGAAATGTATATGTATTGTAGAATATTATTCATTCTAGTATTGTCCTCTGTTCTACCCACATTATTTTCTGTGCAATATTCTTCTAAAGTAGTTTTCTGAATGATTTATGAACTGTGAAAGTACATGTTGGTTGTTTTAACATAATTGTAGGGATTTAGAACATATGAGAGGTGTGATAATGATTCAGAATACAAATTAAATTCCACAAGCCATGTTATGTGTATTTTAAAGTTTACTGCAGTGATATTCAATATGCAATTGGCTTGTAATTCCATGAACCTTCTTATATAACAGGGTAAATAACATTTCCTAAGTGTTACCATGATTTGACTGTGAGAGGAATGGTGCATGTCCCAGTGCATGATGGTTACAGCTACAGATGTTGATGTACTGTAGCGGTGGTTGTTGTTGCCATGGAGAGCCTCTAACAATAAGGTGGTGCTGTCATGCTGTCCTTAGCAACCACTGCTGGGAGTACTGGATGGACTGAAACACATCAAACAACCATCTTCATAAATCTGATGTCATCAACACAGAGTTTTGGATTTGTCCTTTTAGGAAAAAATCAATCTTTGGAAGTTAAATCTAGTTTCTATAATATTATTGAATTTCCCTGTCAATCGTCATAACATGATTAGTAAAAGAAATAGGCCATATTCTACTCTCAATTTCTTAGCTTGAAACAATGAAAGCTGAGCCCATGATAACTGGAGGTCCTATGGTAGTAGAATGGACATGTTTGGCTAAGGTTGCCCCCATAACTCAACAGTGTGTGATGCAAGAACTGAACTCACTGAGTATCTGTTGTCAATCTTGGCACTGTAGCTGTCTTTGTTCGTGTGCACACTTGTAGTGCACACTTTAACCTGCTATAAAGAGAAAAGCATATAGAGAGAGGGTTATAAAGAAGTTAGATTCAGTTAATTGCATGGACATTCATAACCTCTAGCAAGGGATGAGAATACCCTAACCCAGTGGCACATCCAGCACTATAGCGCCTCAGGCTGGCTCTCTACCATCGGAGCTGGTCACTTCACATCCTATAAATCCAAGAGAGAAATAATCTCTTTATATATATTGTTAAGGCTATGTGATGTAGTCTAGATGATTGTGGACTTCACGAAACAGCAGAGGGTGCACCCCCCAATCCACATCGACGGGACCGCAGTGGAGAAGGTGGAAAGCTTCAAGTTCCTTGGCGTACACATCACTGACAAACTGAAATGGTCTGCCCACGCAAACAGTGTGGTGAAGAAGGCGCAACAGGGACATTTGTCTTGGCACCTAAAACCCTCACAAACTTTTACAGATGCACAATTGAATCCTGTCGGGCTGTATCACCGCCTGGTACGGCAACTGCATCGTCCGCAACCGCAGGGCTCTCCAGAGGGTGATGCGGTCTGCCGAACGCATTACCGGGGGCAAACTACCCGCCCTCCAGGACACCTACAGCACCCGATGTCACAGGAAGGCCAAAAATATTGCTCTGTCATTGCTTGTCCATATATGTATATATTCTTAAATTCCATTCCTTACTTAGATTTGTGTGTATTGGGTATATGTTTTGAAATTGTTGGATATTACTTGTTAGATATTACTGCACTGTCGGAGCTAGAAGCACAAGCATTTCGCTACACCTGCAATTACATCTGCTAAACACATGTATGTGACTAATAAAATTTGATTTGATTTGGAGTAACATTGTGACCTTGACTGAAATAGCTACTGTATCAACAATTTCTTACTGTCCTATATGTCTCCTACTTTAATGTCATCGTTGATGATTAAAAGAACAATGGCCCTCCCTGCCTTTATGAGTGATAGTCACGCTGCGTTCAACCACGTTCTGCCTGCGCCCCGCTTCCCAGTGCATGGCTGTCATGTTACAGTAAACCACCCTGGAAGTCTACAGTATTAGACCACACAGCGTAATCTGAGCATGGCAATTACCCTGATTTATGAGTACTCAAGACCCTGGGCACGTTTGAGTGGTAAGGCGAAAGCAACTAACTGTAGGCGAAAGTCGGACACTACCCACCGGGCACAGACTTCAATTCAGTTCCACGTTGGTTCAAATGATGGACATTTTTTTTTATTCAACCAGTGTGTGCCCAGTGGGTAAACACGTTTCCATCCCCAGTTTTTATGCGAGTAAAGTCATACTGTATAAAAAAAAATCACAACAGCTGTGATGGAAACTGGAAGTTTCGGTACAATTGTATAAATGCCTACAGATAATTTGTTCCTTCGACATGGTGGGATAATTTTTGCGTCTGTAAAATTAATTATGTGCGAAATGGCAGAGGAAACCCATTTAACTTGTTTTTTTTTTAATGGGCACTATGTCATCATGCACAGCCTTTTATCCACAACAAGTCAATTAGATGGAAACACATCTCTGGTAGGAAAATGCACATATTGTTTTTATGCAGATTGTAGAACATTCGCATGAAAATCTGTCGCCAATTGAAGGCAAACCTAGTTACTGGTGTGGTTTTCCAACATCACCGCTCAGTGCAACATGGCAGTAGTGTTGCCAGTAACGACGTTTCCATCCACAGTTTTTATGCTAAAAATACTTAATGACTTCATGCCCTTTGAACACATGATTTTTGTAAAGTTCATGCAGTCAAAATGTAGGCGCAAGTTGGCCAATTTTTATACCAATAATGCAACACACTTTGAAAGGCAGTGAATTTGACAAAAGTGATCCACTTGAACGCGCCCCCTATGACGCAATCCTTTATAGCGGCATAAAAACTGCATACACAGATACGTCTAATCACAGAATAGAGTTGAATAGAATAGAATAACTGTTTGCGCAATAATACATAAGACGGCATTGATTATGTTTATAGTAAAACATATTTTTCTCTGTTTAAAAACAAAAATAATATTGTAATTTATGACTTTCCTAAATAAAATAAAAATGCACTTGCCTATGAGCTCTCCAGACAGCAACAACAGGACAGTATCAACAGCCCTTATGAAGACAGATCTGACTGTGCTTCTGATAACATGATAATGACAATGCAAGATTAAACAAAACTGTCTTCAATGAATTCCATTCCATTCTTACCCAGTGTGTGGGTCGTGGTTAGGTTTGACAAAAGGTGGCGCCAAAGTCTGTCCATACCATAGAATTAGGAATTAGACTAATTTATAGGACACTGTGTAGGCCAATGTGTTGTATGGTTATTTTTTGGGCACAGGTGAGGCTAGCGCGTTTTTCCCCTTGGTTTACATTCGCTCTTTTGGAGGTTTTACTATATCATTTCTTCCATCCTAGCCAAATTTCCTCATCTGTTTGCATGTGTCTCTCCTATATCAAGGTATTTTGGTACTTCCCTTATGCAGTACGCTTTTCCCGCGTGCTAACTTTTACTATACCACAGGTCAATATTGTCTATCCTGCCCTCTATCCACCATTCATAGTGACAATAGTGGTATGTGGATTAGTTGTCCAGATCTGCAATAGGCTAACTAGCAATGCAGGGCCGGCTCTAGCCTTTTGGGGGCCCTAAGCGAGATTTGGTTGTGGGGCCCCCCACCTCGCTGCAAAACATTTTAGTGGCCCTTCTCTTGACCGCGGAGAAAAAAATGTCAGCCCACAAGAGCGGAAATTCACTTTTTTTCAGCTGAAAGACGGTGCCCATAGCTTACCGATGATGTTGCACAACGATTTAAGTCAATGAGTCATCATTTTAGTGAAAGTATTATACTGTACATTTGGGGTTGAAGTGGGAAATCCGAAGTAATAACTTCTGATATTTTCTGTGCCAATGCCATGTGTTTCCGCTATGATATGACGTGCTAATACTTTACAGTCTACTTTCTTTTCAGGGCTGGGTTTTATTTGAATGTTACCACCCACCAGCAAGGCATTGTTTATTCATCGGAAACACCTGCAAAGTTCTTCCTCTTCGCGAGCCACGACTGAGCTGAGTAACACAATAGATCATCTTTGGCTGAGCCAAACAGCTTTTCGCCGTAGCCTACACTTGGCCGCCTGATCCATGGAGCAAATTCAAATAGAGGGTGCAAATTTATGTTTTTGCACCACCACCTTTTTACCAGCAAATTATCATAATCCATTAGAAAATGTGTGAAGTTTAAATTAGTTTTGAGCCAGTCTGTATAAAAAATACATATATGACAATTTTATGAATAGTAAAATTGTGTGTGATATTTCAGTAATTTTTTTATACACTGCTCAAAAAAATAAAGGGAACACTTAAACAACACAATGTAACTCCAAGTCAATCACACTTCTGTGAAATCAAACTGTCCACTTAGGAAGCAACACTGATTGACAATAAATGTCACATGCTGTTGTGCAAATGGAATAGACAGTAGGTGGAAATTATAGGCAATTAGCAAGACACCCCCAATAAAGGACTGGTTTTGCAGGTGGTGACCACAGACCACTTCTCAGTTCCTATGCTTCCTGGCTGATGTTTTGGTCACTTTTGAATGCTGGCGGTGCTTTCACTCTAGTGGTAGCATGAGACGGAGTCTACAACCCACACAAGTGGCTCAGGTAGTGCAGCTCATCCAGGATGGCACATCAATGCGAGCTGTGGCAAGAAGGTTTGCTGTGTCTGTCAGCGTAGTGTCCAGAGCATGTAGGCGCTACCAGGAGACAGGCCAGTACATCAGGAGACGTGGAGGAGGCCGTAGGAGGGCAACAACGCAGCAGCAGGACCGCTACCTCCGCCTTTGTGCAAGGAGGAGCAGGAGGAGCACTGCCAGAGCCCTGCAAAATGACCTCCAGCAGGCCACAAATGTGCATGTGTCTGCTCAAACGGTCAGAAACAGACTCCATGAGGGTGGTATGAGGGCCCGATGTCCACAGGTGGGGGTTGTGCTTACAGCCCAACACCGTGCAGGACGTTTGGCATTTGCCAGAGAACACCAAGATTGGCAAATTCGCCACTGGCGCCCTGTGCTCTTCACAGATGAAAGCAGGTTCACACTGAGCACGTGACAGATGTGACAGAGTCTGGAGACGCCGTGGAGAACATTCTGCTGCCTGCAACATCCTCCAGCATGACCGGTTTGGCGGTGGGTCAGTCATGGTGTGGGGTGGCATTTCTTTGGGGGGCCGCACAGCCCTCCATGTGCTCGCCAGAGGTAGCCTGACTGCCATTAGGTACCGAGATGAGATCCTCAGACCCCTTGTGAGACCATATGCTGGTGCGGTTGGCCCTGGGTTCCTCCTAATGCAAGACAATGCTAGACCTCATGTGGCTGGAGTGTGTCAGCAGTTCCTGCAAGAGGAAGGCATTGATGCTATGGACCGCCCGTTCCCCAGACCTGAATCCAATTGAGCACATCTGGGACATCATGTCTCGCTCCATCCACCAACGCCACGTTGCACCACAGACTGTCCAGGAGTTGGCGGATGCTTTAGTCCAGGTCTGGGAGGAGATCCCTCAGGAGACCATTCGTCACCTCATCAGGAGCATGCCCAGGCGTTGTAGGGAGGTCATACAGGCACGTGGAGGCCACACACACTACTGAGCCTCATTTTGACTTGTTTTAAGGACATTACATCAAAGTTGGATCAGCCTGTAGTGTGGTTTTCCACTTTATGATGTGCACATTCTTGCTTTTCAGTAGCTTAATAAATTCCAGATTATAGACGTGGCTACTGTGGCCGTCAAGGAGGAGAAGATGGGGCCTGGGGTCATCCCTGGGGAGGGACTGAATGAACATTTGACCCCATTCCAGAAAGAGGTCAGAGGTAATCCAGCCATTGTCTGAACACCTTACGCTGGTGTTCTCCGGGCATCCCTGTAGCCACTCAGAACGAACACGCTTCCCCTTAAAAATAATTATTGTTCGACTGTATGTACCTTCTGCATTGAACGCTGCCAGACAAGTTGTTGTCTCCCCCTTCTCTCCGGCACACACCTCCACACATGGCTGGCCAACCTGTCCAACAACCTTTGTCGAACTGAACTGGTCCTGAAGCCCAGACTCGTCAC